CCACCTGCCCTGAGCTGCCGCCAGCCCTCGCAGCCCTGTACGTGGTGCTGCCCACCGTGTACTCTGTGATCTGCGCCGTGGGGCTGACCGGCAACACAGCCGTCATCTACGTGGTCCTCAGAGCACCCAAGATGAAGACGGTGACCAATGTGTTCATCTTGAACCTGGCTGTGGCCGACGGGCTCTTCACGCTGGTGCTGCCGGTGAACATCGCGGAGCACCTGCTGCAGCGCTGGCCTTTCGGGGACCTGCTGTGCAAGCTGGTACTGGCCATCGACCACTACAACATCTTCTCCAGCGTCTACTTCCTGGCCGTGATGAGCGTGGACCGCTACCTGGTGGTGCTGGCCACAGTGCAGTCTCGCCGCGCACCCCGGCGCACCCACCGAGGCGCCAAGCTCACCAGCCTGTGCGTCTGGCTGGGTGTGACCCTGCTGGTCCTGCCGTTCTTCTCCTTCGCGGGCGTCTACAGCAACGAGCTGCAGGTCCCCAGCTGCGGGCTCAGCTTCCCGCGGCCCGAGCGGGCCTGGTTCAAGGCCAGCCGCATCTACACCCTGGTGCTGGGTTTTGTGGTGCCCGTGTGCACCGTGTGCGTGCTGTACGCGGACCTGCTGCGCAGACTGCGGGCCGTCCGGCTCTGCTCCGGAGCCAAGGCTCTGGGCAAGGCCAAGCGGAAAGTCACGGTGCTGGTGTTTGCCGTCCTGGCCGCGTGCCTGCTCTGCTGGACGCCCTTCCACCTGGCCTCCGTCGTGGCCCTGACCACAGACATGCCCCAGACCACCCTGGTCATCAGCATCTCCTACGTCATCACGAGCCTCAGCTACGCCAACTCATGCCTCAACCCGTTCCTCTATGCCTTCCTGGACGACAACTTCCGCAAGAGTTTCCGCACGCTGTTCCCATGCGGCGCGGCCTGAGAGCCCCTCCAGGAGCACCCCGCCTCCCCACAACCCAGCCCCACCCAGGCTGCGCCACCCCACCCCACCCCACCCCGCCGGCCTCGTCCAGGCAGCGCCCCACGTCCTGGAGTCCTGCCCACCCCTCCAGGAGCCTCTGCGTCCCCGCTTCCCCTCACGGGCCCGGCCTGGGCTGTGCCCCGCCCACCCTGCCCAGGCAGCGCCCCATCCAGGCAGTGCCCCGCTTTTTCTAATAGATTTATTTGATTATTTTACTTGAAAGGCAGAGTGACAGAAAGAGAGGGAGGGACCTGCTCCGTGGGTAAAGCCACCACCTGCAGTGCCAGCATCCCAGATGGGCGTGGGTTCAAGTCCCAGCTGCTCTACTTCTGATCCAGCTCTCTGCTATGGCCTGGGGAAACAGTGGAAGATGGTCCAAGTCCTTGGGCCCCTGCACCTGGGTGGGAGGCCCAGAAGAAGCAGCCAACTGGGAAGTGAACCAGCAGATGGAAGACCTCTCTCTCTGCCTCTCCTTCTCTCTCTGTAACTCTGACTTTCAAATAGATACATAAATCTTTTAAAAAGAAAGGAAGGAAGAGACAGGGTGTCCATGTGCTCATTCACTTTACAAGTGGCCACAGCGGCCAGGTCAAAGACGGAACAGGAGCTCCATCTGGGTCTCCTACACGGGTGCAGGGGCCCAGGCACCCAAAGGTCTCCACGAGCATTAGCAGGGCGCTGGACGGGAAGTGGAGCAGCGGGGGCTCAGCTCACACAGCACCAGCCCCGTCTTTGATATCTCCTAGCGACAGAGGCCCCAGAAGTCGGCCTCTACCTTCAGAGACAGCCAGAGCTAGGTTCTCTCTCCTGTCTGCCTCCTGGACAGCCCCGAGCAGACAGCAGCAGGCGCTCAGGTCCCAGCAGGAGGTCCTGACACAACAGGAGCCCTGAATCCACCCACAGAGACCCCACTGCCCCTGTCATCCCAGGGCCAGCCCTGAGCCTCACAGCCGAGAGCCACTGGGCTCCTCCAGGTTGCATCAGGAGGTGACCGAGCTGGGCAGCCCAGGCAGCAAAACCCAGGGTCTCTGCAGAGGCCAAGGGCACCTATGTCAAAGACCAAGAGACCTCTCGCTGGGAGGCCTGTGCCCTGTGTGTCCCCCCTATCCAGGGGCCACGTGTCACCTGCAGGGGCTTGCACCTGGAACCCCTAGGCCTGGACCCAGCCAGCAGCAGCTGCTATGAGCCTCAGGCTTGGGAGGGGCTCCCAGGTGCAGGGTCAGAGACCCCTGATTCCAGGCAGAAGGGCCGAGCAGGTCCCCAAAGACCACCCGGTGGGCCTGGCCCCTCTGGTTGAGTCTGGGGTCTCAGCCTTGCCTCTGGGTGCGGTCAGGACCCAGGCTCACCACCCCAGCCTGCGTCCGGTGCAAGCCCACCCACCCCCACCACCACCACATTCTCCAGCCTGCCTGAGCCCCCTCAGGTGTCACCGCTGTCGTGAACGCTCACGGCAGGGGGTCAGGAATCAGCGTGCCTTTTTCAGATGGTTTAGACTCAGGGTCCTGAGAGGTCGCAACCCAGGTGTGGCCAAGGCTCTGGTCACCTGAAGCCTCGGCTGCTGGGCGCGTGGACAGCTGCTCAGGGCCCCCCGGGAAGCCAGCGAGAGTGGGCAGGAGAAAGCTGACCTGTCTGGGGGGCGCTGGCCGCCCTCCCCGACTCTGTGCAGCAGCAGGGAGTGGCCAGGCCTGGGGTGGGGGACGTGTGTGCAGCAAACACCCGCACCCCCGCCTCCGCGGGAGAACGAGCTGTTCTCGGCCCCTTTCCTGCGTGAGAGTGCGCGGCAGTCACACCTCGCTGCAGAGCCGCCTAATTGCCGAGCGAGCCGCGGCTGCGCTGAGTCAAGAGCTCCCTGAGCACACGGGCGAGCGGTAACGAGTGTGAAAGAGGCGCAGCGCCTGAGCAGGCGGAGGCAGGGGCCGCCTTTCGCCCTCAGGTGGGGGTCCCCCCTCTGCCCCCACTGGCCACCCTCCGTGGCTCATCTCCCTGAAGACCCACGCCGTGTGTCCTGCAGAGATGCTGCCCATCCGCGGCCAAGGATGGGAGCCTCAGAGAAAGCCCCGCCCCACGTATCTGTCCACGAGGAGCCTGATGCAGATCAGCACGGCCAGGGGGTCAACAGACCAGCCCCCAGCCCAGGGGGAGACCCAAGGCCTGGGCAGCCACAGACTGTCAGGAGGGGTGAGGGAGGCCTGTTCTCACAGGGGCCCTGTCCCAGCAAGCGGCTGACCCCCACCCACCCGCACCGTGGACTTCCTGATGCAGGGGTGGGGAGGAGGCCATACTGGAGCACGCCCCCTGCCCAGGGCTCAGGCCCTTCCAGCCCCAGGCCTCACGGCCACCCCTGCTCTGCCCTCAGGCCCCCCGGGCTCCACCTGCCTGTGGCCACTTGCCCCAGGCCAGGGGAGAGCCCAAAGCAGCAGGTGAGGCCCACAGGGCCCGGGCCCTGCCAGAGCCAGGAGGGCTCAGCAGTCTCCTCTACACAGAGGCGAAAACCAAGGCTCAGAGGAACCAGGTTTCAGCAGGTGCAGCGGTGGGCAGGGGCAGGGTACAGGGAGGCTGGGGTGTGGGGCGGGGGGGCAGGGTACAGGGAGGCTGGGGTGCGGGGCGGGGTGCAGGGAGGCTGGGGTGTGGGGCGGGGAGCGGGGTGCAGGGAGGCTGGGGTGCGGGGCGGGGTGCAGGGAGGCTGGGGTGTGGGGCGGGGAGCGGGGTGCAGGGAGGCTGGGGTATGGGGCGGCGGGGCAGGGTACAGGGAGGCTGGGGTGCGGGGCGGGGTGCAGGGAGGCTGGGGTGTGGGGCGGGGAGCGGGGTGCAGGGAGGCTGGGATGTGGGGTGGGGGGGCGGGGTACAGGGAGGCTGGGGTGCGGGACGGGGGGCAGGGTACAGGGAGGCTGGGGTGCGGGGCGGGGTGCATGGAGGCTGGGGTGCGGGGCGGGGGGGCAGGGTACAGGGAGGCTGGGGTGCGGGTGGGTGTGGGCATGGAGCATGGGGGCAGGAGTGTGGGGACAGGGGTGTGGGGACAGGGGCGTGGGGGTGTGGAGCATGGCAGCAGGGGTTCAGAGAGTCTGGGGTGCAGATGGGTACGGGCGCAGGGCGTGGGGGCAGGGGTACAGGGAGGCTAGGGTGTGGGCAAGTAGGGGTGTGGGGCATGGGGGCAGGGGTGCAGGGAGACTGGGGCGCAGTGTGGGGGCGTGGAGCATGGGGACGCAGAGCGTGGGGGCAGGGGCGTGGGGGCAGCCCATATGGGACATCCTGGGAGCCAGGGCCCTGCCTCCAACGTCCCTACCCCTGCCTGGCCAGCCTTCTGGTGGACACAAGCTGTGGGTGGCGGCCCTGGGCTCCCAGGTGGTGACACGGTCAGCAGCCCAGGGCCTCACACGTGAACCCCCGGCTGCTTGGGGCCTCCCTCCCGATTTCCCCTGATGCTGAATTTTGGTCTCAAAAGCAACACGTCGGCCACAGAAGTTTGCATCCAGCCCCCAGCACGCCAGCAGCTGGAGTGAGGGCCAGCGTCCTCACAAGAGGCGGCTCTGAGCTTCACGTGAGGACCCGGCAAGAAGACAGGGCTCGGCAGAGCCCCACTGTACCAGCACCCCGATCTCGGACTTCAGCCTCGACAGGGGACTCATCACAGCCTCGTCACGGGTCCGGTGACAAGATCATCTGCCTGCCACACGGGGGCCCCAGGAGATCACCCAGGCGGTCACCATGTTCACTGTTCACAAAGCTCCCCTCCCTCAGGTCTGCTCCAAGAAGGGGGTCGGGGCCCCCCCAGGGCCGAAGAGGATGCAGAAGACCCTGGGGCTCAGCAGGGGGCGGCACCTGGGGAAGGAGAGAGGCGCGGAATCGCTGCTCAGGGAGAAAAAAGAGTGGCTATGACTCAGCATAGCTGGTTTCCCCTCCCCCGAAGCTGGGCCTCCCCGGGACCCTACCCCAAGGGCAGCTTCAAGGGCGCACTGGGCGGGACCCCAGTCCCCTCCCAGGAAAGTTACCCCCCTGTCCAGTCCCCATGTGACTGTCAGAAACACCTGTTGAAAGCACAGCGGGTCAGCGAGCCGTGGTTTATTAGGGAACCTCCCTCAGCACCCGAGGCAGGTGCAGGGTCGGCCGCAGGCATGGGAAGCGGTACTTGTTGCATGCAAAATACAGGAAGATGCACGTGACGCCAGCGCAGACTCGGACACTTTTCAGCTTCGGCAAGAAAACACTGCGCTGGGCAGCTTCCATCCTCCCGGGAGCAGCTGTTGTGAGCAGGACCCCCGAGGCAGGAGGAGCCAGTCCAGGATCCGCACCTGGGCTCCGCAGGTGCCCGAGGCCACCTGGCCGGGGTCTCCGTAGAATATCAGAGTCTTTCCAAGGCTCCCAGTGTTTCCACAGTTCTACAGAGAAGCCTTTGCGAAGTCTCTGGCCTGCAGCTTCCTCCTGCAGACCACAGCAGGCTGCTCTCCAAGGGACTGGGGCCCCCACCCCCAAACATCCCGCAGCCCAGACAGTGCCTGCCCAAGCCCCACCCCTCGCCGTGGCTCCCCACGGGATGCCAACCCGCCAGCTGGCAACGGCAAGCTCAGGCCTTGCCCAGACACCCCGAGGTCTGTGGACTAAGCAGTCTCGAGGGACAGAGTAGAATACAGTCCATCCGCCCTGGTTCCAAGGCCCCGGGACCTCTTTCCAGATGCAGAGCCGCTGTTCTCTGACTGTAAGCAACAGAGAGACTGGGTGAGGGAGAACCCCAGGGAGAGCCTGTTCTCCTGCCCTGCACCAGACGCTGATACCAGCACACGGGTCTCTGCCTTGCGGGCAGAGCAGGCCACGTGGTCCCGCGGCACCTTCCTCCTGAGCCCCTTCTCACACACTGAAAAGCAGGCAGATGTGGAACGAGGGCTCGGCTCCCTTCTGCAGGAGCAGGCTCACTGAGAAGCCCGAGGGCCAGGGCCCCTGCCGGTCTCCTGGAGGCAGGCAGGCGTGCAGCCCTGAGCCGAGCCACAGTCATGGATGCACGGTGGCAGCTGCACTGAGGCAAGAGCAAGTCCACGCCGTGGCCTGCCCAGCACGCAAGGCCCCTCACCGAGGCTAACAGCCCGCCTGGACACCCCGAGGGTCCCTGGTGCCACAGGCGCAGGCAGAACAGGCAGGTGCTCCCGGTGGTGGCTCCGAGCTCAGAGAAGCGCTGCCCACTGCTCTCCCTGGGCAGCACCAAGCCGGTCCAGTGGCCACAAGGCTGAAGGCAATGCAGACATCACTCGACACACAGGGTGCACACGACTGTGAAGCTGCTGTCCCACCTCCAGGCGTGTGCCCAGTGCACGCACGCAGTTGACTCTGCAGGGCAGAGGCCGAGGATGAGGGACACGTAGCCGGGAAGGTGCGCGTGGGCCCCTGTCTGGTGTGGGCAGTCTCAAGTGCCGCAGCCCAGCACCAGGAGAGCGGCTCAGTCTGGTGGAGGCCATGGAGGCAGCCTCATGCTCTGACCCGTCCCATGATGTCACCAGGTCCTGGACCAAGCAAGCCTGGGCCAAAGGCAAAGCCCACCCGAGGCTGCAGACACGCAGGGCTCGGGGGTCAGCCTAGAGAGCAGTGACCTGCGTGAGCTCCGTGTTGGGTGTGGACGGGCTCTGGGGGCTGACGGGCACCATGGGCAGGTCCACGCCTAGTCATGCGGGCCGCGGCACTGTCTCCGAGGTCTTGCAGGCGAGGGCCACGTCCTTGGCAATGCTGCGCACACGGTCCGACACCTGCATCTCCCGGCGCAGGGCGGACGCGCAGCAGAACCTGCGGAAGCAGGCCTTGAAGTTCTCGTCCAGGAAGGCGTAGAGGATGGGGTTGAGGCAGCTGTTGACGTAGCCCAGAGCCGTGCAGAAGCGCAGCACGGCCACGGCTGTCTCACTGCCCGGCTGGACGCCCAGCCCCTGCACCAGCACGAAGACCTGCACGGGCGTCCAGCAGCCCACGAACACGGCCACCACCACCAGCACCAGCCGCGTGATGCGCCGCAGGTTCCGGTCCTTCTCGCGCGAGCCTGAGAGCAGGCGGACACCGCGGAGCCGCCGGATCATGAGGCTGTAGCAGACGGAGATGATGAGCACGGGGATGATGAAGGAGAAGAGGAAGATGCAGACGGCAAACACCGGGCCCCAGTAGTCCTGGGGGGTGGGGATCTCCACCAGGCACTCGATCTCTGCAGGCAGGAAACAGGGTCAGAGGAGCCGCCACCCACCAGGAGCCCTGTGGAGCTAGAGGGAGGGGCCACCCCACTGACCTTCATCCTCAACCTGTGCCGAGCCCATGATGGCAACCGGAACACCAACCACAGAGGCCAGGGCCCAGATGGCCACGTTCACGGCCTGGGCCTTACTGGAAGTGCGGACGTCCAGGGCGCGGATCGGGTGGCAGATGGCCACGTAGCGGTCCACACTCATGGCCGTCAGGGTGAAGGTGCTGGTGAACATGTTGTAGTAGTCGATGGCAATCACGGCCTTGCACAGGGCGTTCCCGAATGGCCAGAAGCCCAGCAGGACATCGGTGCCCTGGAAAGGCAGGGTCAGCAGGACCAGCGTGTCGGCCAAGGCCAAGTTGAAGATGTAGATGTTGGTGGCCGTCTTCATCTTGGTGTGTCTGCAAGAGGACAGCAGCAAGTCAGGCTTCGCGGGGTCACCCTGACCGAGCCTGTGTGCACCGCCCCTCCGCATCAGGCAGGCTGCTGGACCTAACCCACGAAGCAGCGTCGCAGGGTGGGGGCTGGGGCAAGCACCCCAACAAATCCCACCAGGGCTCCTGCTGGACACCAGGGCCCCAAGATGTCTGCTTTGGAAGAGCTGGAGGCTTCAGGACACACGGCTGAGGCTGCACGAAGGCAGCGGGAACGAGAAGGTGAAGAACCCGTCCTCCTCATGGGCAAGTCCCCTCCAGGCCACCCATGGACTCAGAGCCTTGCCCTGCGACTTGCAGAGGTTCCTAGTGCCCTAGAGACCATAACAGCACGTGCCAGGACAGGAAATGGTGACGGGGATGGGATGGGTGACTCTAGCCAAGCACCTGGAACAGGGCTGGGAAAGTTGTGGATAATAAATATTGGTAGAATAAATTAATGGTGGTGATGGTGATGGTGGGGATGGTGATGGTGATGATGGTGGTGATGGTGGTGGTGATGGTGATGATGGTGGTGATGGTGGTGGTGGTGGTGATGGTGGTGATGATGGTGGTGATGATGGTGGTGGTGATGGTGGTGGTGGTGGTGATAGTGATGATGGTGGTGGTGATGGTGGTGGTGGTGGTGATGGTGATGATGGTGGTGATGGTGGTGGTGATAGTGATGGTGGTGATGGTGATGATGGTGGTGGTGATGATGGTGGTGGTGGTGATAGTGATGATGGTGGTGATGGTGGTGGTGATAGTGATGATGGTGGTGGTGATGGTGGTGGTGGTGATGGTGATGATGGTGGTGATGGTGGTGGTGATGGTGGTGATGGTGGTGGTGGTGGTAATAGTGATGATGGTGATGGTGATGATGGTGGTGGTGGTGATGGTGATGATGGTGATGATGGTGGTGGTGGTGATGGTGATGGTGATGATGGTGGTGATGGTGATGGTGGTGGTGGTGGTGGTGGTGGTGATGGTAATGGTGGTGATGGTGGTGATGATGGTGGTGATGGTGGTGGTGATAGTGATGGTGGTGGTGGTGGTGGTGGTGATGGTGGTGGTGATAGTGATGATGGTGGTGATGGTGGTGATGGTGGTGGTGGTGGTGGTGGTGACAGCAACACCAGAGATGGTAATATTCTGTATCAGTTTAGCTGCAGAGGTACCAGGTGGGAAGTGTGAGGTTCAATTCTGCCTCTTGGACAGACTCAGAACAAGCAGAAGAGGCTTGAATTACAGCTCAACAACAGACAAGACACTGACAATGGCAGATCCTTGTCAGGCTCTTCACGCAGGTTTTACCTCACTTAAGACACAAAACGCTCTGGCGCCGCGGCTCACTAGGCTAATCCTCCGCCTGCAGCGCCGGCACACCGGGTTCTAGTCCCGGTCGGGGCGCCGGATTCTGTCCCAGTTGCCCCTCTTCCAGGCCAGCTCTCTGCTGTGGCCAGGGAGTGCAGTGGAGGATGGCCCAAGTGCTTGGGCCCTGCACCCCATGGGAGACCAGGAGAAGCACCTGGCTCCTGGCTTCAGATCAGCGTGGTGTGCAGGCCGCAGCGTGCCGGCCGCGGTGGCCATTGGAGGGTGAACCAACGGCAAAGGAAGACCTTTCTCTCTGTCTCTCTCTCTCTCTCTCACTGTCCACTCTGCCTGTCAAAAAAAAAAAAAAAAAGACACAAAACGCTATCTTAGTCCCCACTCTGGGGAGGGGGAGCTGGGACCCCGAGTGTCCGGGCCGCTCTCCTGAGACAGAACTGGTTAGAAGTCGGGCAGGGATGGGAACGGGCGTCTCCACTCCTGGGCAGCCGCCCCCGTCCACTAGGTCACATGGCCTCTGGAGCCGTGTACAGCTGGGGACCCTGGCCGGCAGGAGGACAGTCCCTGTCTGTTCAAGTCCAGGAGTGGCTCTGAGAGGGTTAACAACCCAGGGCTGACACAAGCAGTGGTCAGCAAGGCTGCTACCTGTCTGAGCCAGCCGCAGACGGCAGCCACGGGGGGCAAGTGGATCACAGCACAGTCGGCCCTGAGTGTCAGCCCTGGGAGGGACACCACACACGTGCACACATGCACACACATACACAAGCACACACATGTGGCCATGTGGTCTCTCTTCCTGACTTTCCAGACAAGGAAAACATGGTTTTCTCAGGGACACATGGGACAGGTGGGGGAGGTGAGGCCTGGGTACCCCCACTGCCCTGTCCTGCCTCCGCCAAGGTTCCCACTCTGACACCCTGCTGGGGGCCCAGGGTAGGCAGAGGGACCATCCCCTCTCTCTGGATCAAGGGACACTCTGGGAACAGTAAGATCACCCCAGCCAAATCACCTTCTTGCCCAGGAGCCACCCACAGCTCCCCACTGCCTGCCACGCAAAGTGCTCCCAGCCTGGTACTCGAACCCCACCCGCTGCCTCCAGCTCTCTTCCACCCCTCACCTGGACAGGCCCAGGGCCCGAGTCCTCTCTGCCTTTTGCCCAGAGCACTCTCCATGTGTAAGTCTCCTTGCACATCCTGGCACAGCTCCCCACACTGCCCCAATGCCACCCCAGCCCCCCACCCCCAAAGACCTGGCACCAGCTGGCTTCTTCACGGTCCTCAAGAGCTTCTCGTTCTCTGAGCAGATCATGGGCAGGGCGACACGGCCCCCGTGCCCCCTGGGTGGACCTGCAGGAGGGTCTCATGGGTCACCACGGCATTCCGTGGCACAGAGCCTGGCCGTGGCCCTCCCAGGACAGACCAGCAAGGGCAGGGAAGGCCCCTGCTCTGCCCTCTGCCCGTGGCAGGGGCCTACCCAAAGAGTTGATAGCCAGGGTCTCAGCATCGACCCCACCACCCTGGACAAGGCACAACTCAAAGGCGGGGGGACAGAAATCGGCACCTGCTCATGCTGGGCCCTTCCAGAACAGCCCCTGCCTCCCCTGCAGCTGTGAGGGGCCTGGGGAGCAGCCCCCCTCCCCGCAGCTCTGAGGCCCGCGCCCAGCCTACCTGAGGATGACGTACATGACGAGGCAGTTTCCCAGCAGGCCCCCGACGCACACAGCCAGGTAGAGCCCTACGATGGTGGCCTTGAGCCCCAGGGGCAGGAAGGCTCCGTGGCTGGAGTTGAGCAGCAGGTGGGGGGGCGGCAGGCTGTGGTTGGGGCTCAGGAGAGACAGGTTGCCCTGAAGGTGGCTGCCGTACAGCTCCTCCCAGAACGGAGCAGGGAACAGGGACTCCATCTCTCAGCACCTGGGCCAGGGCACAGGACGCGTGACTCCCAGCAAGCACCACCCAGGACACACGGGCACACACGCGTGCACACGCAGGGACGCACATGCATTCTCACACCAGGACACGTGCCCAGACACGCAGCTGCCCGTGTACTCACATGTGCACACACACGCGCACACAGGACACAGAGGCTGCTCACGCTCTCGCTCCCCCACTGTCCGAGAGGCTGCCAGCTCCGGCGACTCAAGCTCTCACCTCCGCAACCTCCTCGGGAGCTGGGAACGGAGACCCCGGCCTGTGGCTCCGGGCAGCCGGGGCAGGTGCAGAGAGGGTGAAGGGGCCCCTCCTCGCGTGCCGGCCTGGTAGGCTCCGGGTGAGGCTGTGGCGGCTGCTCCTTCTCCGCAGACGCCAGGCGCCAGCGACGCAGCAAGGAGTGCGGCAGCCAGGAGCGGGGGAGGGGGAGGAGGCTGCAGCTCCAGAGGGGGCGGGGCTTCGCAGGCTGGAGGAGGGGGCCACAGGGAAAGTGGGTCACCTGGGCCCCCAAGGACAGGGAGAGACACAGGGCCAGGCCATAAGGAGATGAACAATGAGGCTCAAACCCACAGATCCCAGGCGGATCGCAGGGCAGAGACGTCAACAGGTCCATAGAGCCAGAGACAAGACACAGCACAAACACAGGACAGACACGCACGGGACCCGGGACAGACGTGCACAGGACACATGCATAGGACACACATGGGACAGGACTCACAGGGAAATGGAAAAGGCACACAGCTGTGTGTGGCATCTCGCACACAAAGACAGGGCAGGCGGAGGCCCCAACGTGCCTTAATTGTCATTCTGTGCTCACAGCAGACTCTTTGGGCCCTCAGCCTGGCCAGGCCTCAGCGTTCCAGAGCCTGGCAAACAGCAGGATGCCTGGGTCCAGGATGCTGGCACCGTGCCCACTGTGTGCCTCTGTGCCTACGGCCAGCTAATCCCATCACAAGCCCAAGCTGCAGAATACCCCCTGCACCTGGCCATGCCACCCATGCTGCCCTCCCGCACAGGAGCGACCTGCCTCAGACAGGGTGGAGCCTGGGTCTGGTTGTCACTGGAGGTCCCACAGATGTCTCACACAACTGATCAGCTCCCACGGCCATGTGCACAGTCCAATCAAAGGAACAGCTACGGTCAAGGCTGCATGGGTGACGGCGCAGCTGGGTGGCCAGCCCCCCGTCACATGTCTGTCCTCTCTGCCTGGGCTTTGAAGGTGGGTCAGACCCCTCCCCACCCAGAGAGACCCAGCTCACAGCATCCTTCTCCAGGATGGGACCTGGTTGCTAGGCAACTGGAAGCCGCGTCGCTAGGATACCTGGTGACTCAGGAGAAGCGAGAGCGGACGGACGCCCCAGGACTCGAGTGTCCCGAGCTGCCCCCGTCTCCTTCTCACCTCCACACTTCACCGCAGCTGAAACTCGGGGTCACCTGTGTGCAATCAGGGGACACACGAAAGCTCAGGAATGCACATTCACAGGGAGGCGTGAACACAGGGCCACACACGTGCAAACTCACAACAAGGTGCACCAGGCACATGGCAGACCGAGAGTGACTGGCATGTTTGGGCAAAGGCAGACGCTGACCGAAGCCCTCCGACCACGCACAGTGGAACCCACTGACTGTGGGAGTCCAAGGGAGGCAGGCCCAGGCGGCTCAGACTCCTGCAGCCCTTCCCCCGACTGCCTGTGCCTTCCTCCCAGTCAGAACCCCGCCCAGGGAGGCCACTGCTGGGCTCTGTGAAGAGCCCATTGGAGAAGAGGGGGTGTGCTGAGAGGGGTGGGAGGCAGAGAAAGGGAGGACCAGGCTCCTCCGCACATAACCCTGGTCCCTCCGGCCCAGGCAGCTGACCACCAGCCACACCCGGGGCTGCCTTTCCCAGACTTCCAGGTGCAGCAGTGGCCGGGGCTACTTCCTGGGCCCAGCTCCCTCTGTGGGCCCTGCAGGGTCCAGGGCTCTGCCTCAGCACCCCCACTTCAGAACTGTCTCCAATTGCAGAATGTGCCCCCTCCTGTGTTCTGTGCCGTGCGGCCTTGTCCCATTTCCAACCACAGGACACGCGTGTCCCAGGGTGATGCTGGTGTCCCCAGCCCAGCCAGCTCAAGTCCCAGCGCCAGCCCTGGGAGCCCAGCAGCCACCACCCACCCAGCCGGAGCCGCGAGTCAGTGGTGACTTGTCTGCCCGGCTGTGTTGGGGTGGGGGGGTCCTGGTCTCAGCAGAGACCCCAGCAGAAGCCAGGAGGAGGCACTACCCGGCCCCTACAAGGTGCTGTCAAATTCAAGAACGCATGGTCAGCTAGGGCCCTGCAGTGCAGGGGTCACAGGGCTGCTGACTGTTCATTGTTTTGGGGAGTTCTGAACCTGCACTCCATCCCCACAGCCCCTCAGCCTGTGCACAGCGTGGGGACTCCTTGAAGAGGCGGGGAGGGCTGTGGGGAGCCCCCCAGGGGCCGCCTCCTCCTAGCAGCCTCCCTGGATTCTCAGGAGCCCAGGCTGGGGCTCTGCTCTGCTCCTCAACAATGGCCCCTCCTGGCTCCTGAGGGTCCAGGCCAGGGGACAGTTGGGTGGGGGTCACGGGATGAGCAGCAGCCCGTGGAGAAGGGACCTGCAAATCCTCGTTTTTGTAGGATTGAGAAACAGGCCCCTCTTCCCCCCTGGTTCCCAGCAAGGTCCCCGAGGCCCAGTGCTTGCCTGGCTCCCACAGCCAGGGTGTCCAGTCCTCACTCCCTGCCACTCTCTGTGCAGCTGAGGCCCACCAGGAGGGTGTCTCCCAGCTGTCTCAGCAGGGCGTGTGGCTTCCAAGGGCTGATGGAAACACCGAGGTGAGAGAGATACGTTCCGTCCACTAGTTCACTCCCCAAACACCCAAAACAGCCAGTGCTGGGCCAGGCCAAAACCAGGAGCCAAGAACTCCCTCTTGGTTCCCCACATGAGTGGCAAGGCCCCAAGCACTTGGGCCGTCACCTGCTCTCTCCCAAGCTGCATCAGCAGGAGGCCAGAATCGGAGGCAGAGCCAAGTGTGCCCCACAGCACACGTGGTTAAGTGTGACATGGTGACAGGTGGAGGTTCTTCACCACGGAGAACAGTGATAGGCAAGGTAGCGAGGTTGAACGGGGGAGGGCATCCGTCAGAACGGATGGGACAGAATCCGAGAGAGAGCCGGGCCACGCAGACTGGGGAAAGGAAGGTGACTCGGTTGAATGGAGAGGACGCACCTGCAGGCCAGGTGGTGGCTCAGCAGAGAGCTGAGTGCCAGGCGTGCAGTCCCTGCTCAGTCATGGAGGGCCAGCGTTTCTCCTTTCCCTCTCCCTCTTCCTCCAGGACAAAGGAGTGAGTGTGAATCAGGAGCAATTCTTCCCCGTATCAGTGCTCAGTGCTGTCAGACGGGGGAGCCCCCGCAGGGCAGAGAGGCCTCCTCGGTGCCTGCCTCGGAGGAAGGCTGAGATGGTTTTACTGCTCAGTGTTATCAGGCCAGGCGGAGGAGAGGGGTGCTCCTGGGAGCTTCCCTTGGTGGGAGGGCTGAGACCACCTGGAAGTTACCCGGGTCTGGGCAGGACTTTGTGAGTCCTGGGCTGCTTCCAAGGGGGGCTTCTGCAGGTGCTGTGCTCCTCAGGCCCCTCCCCCACACAGGCTCATTTCTAACAGTGACAGAATGTTCTGGGAAGCGCGTGCCCAGCAGGCGTGGGGAGGTGCGTTTGCTTCTGCCTGGGGGTGTGGCTCTCGCTCAGATACCTACTGGCCAGCTTTGTGCTACTTGAACTATTTTTTTTTTTTGACAGGCAGAGTGGACAGTGAGAGAGAGAGACAGAGAGAAAGGTCTTCCTTTGCCGTTGGTTCACCCTCCAATGGCCGCCGCGGCCGGCACGCTGCGGCCGGCGCACCGCGCTGATCCGATGGCAGGAGCCAGGAGCCAGGTGCTTTTCCTGGTCTCCCATGGGGTGCAGGGCCCAAGCACCTGGGCCATCCTCCACTGCACTCCCTGGCCACAGCAGAGGGCTGGCCTGGAAGAGGGGCAACCGGGACAGAATCCGGCGCCCCGACCGGGACTAGAACCCGGTGTGCCGGCGCCGCAAGGCGGAGGATTAGCCTAGTGAGCCGTGGCGCCAGCCTTGTGCTACTTGAACTAAAGTCCTGGAGAGCAGCCCCTTAGGGAGGAAGAGGGTTTTTCTGCCTAGGATTTGGAAGGTCACAGGCCAAGACTGGGGGCCCTATTGACCCAGCATCTGACAGGGTGTCGGGACGCCTGGTGAGCAGGTCGCCCCGCGTGGAGGGAGCAGTCGCTTCTGTGGGCTCTCCTGCGAGGGCCGCTGTGATTTGGCCACTCAGCAGCCGAGTCGATGGTCACTCCCCAGAGGCCCCACCTTCTCTGTCAGCAGGCATGGGGGTCATCAGAGTCTGGCCGAAGCCCAGCCGCACTCAGCAGGTGCACCCTGTGCTCAGTGCTGCCTTCAGGTCATCCAGGCTGTCCTGGCTGCCCCTGGTGCCCTTCGTGTTTTGTTTTGCCTGCCTGTGGCGTGGTTGGACACACACATGCTCTCATGTCACACACGTCCCCTGTGTGACACATGCGCTGCGTCAGGCCCTGGTCGCACTGTGCCCCTCTGCTGGATTGGAGGAGAGGCAGCACTTCCCACTGGAGAAGGCTAAGGCAGCACAGCCCCACCCACAGGTGCTGAGGACAGAAAGCCCACCCGGGTGGTTCTCAGTGGCTGTGCGTGGAGGCGAGAGTTCCGGATAGTTCCAGATTCACTGCGGGAACAACAGATGTGCAGACAGATTACCAACTTAGCACATTGATTCCAGCTAACTCAACCTGTGCACTGAGCCCATGATTGATTAATGCAGGAATAAGTTGAAGAACTAATTAATGAGCTGACGGTGAACTACAGTGACTCACAAAATAACATCCTGAGATTAACAAACACACACACGAATTACAGAAACCTAAGACCCCAGACTAAGAGATTAAGGGTTCAGCAAAACACAGATCTGGGGGCTGGGGCAGCGGGCAAAGCCACGGTGCTGTGATGCCAGCATCCCATGTGGGCAGCTCCACTTCTCATCTAGCTCCCAGATGATGGCCTGAGAAAGCAGGGAGGTGGCCACGTGCTGCAGCGGCCAGCACCCATGTGGGAGACGCTGATGAAGCTCCTGGCTTCAGCCACTTGGGGCGTGAGCCAGCAGATGAAAGATCTGTCTCTCTGCCTTTCAAATAAATAAAATCTTAAAAATAAATAAACAGTCTGGTCTTGGGGACATCTCGACCCTGAGACCCCAGACCTACCCTCAGGAGGGATGGGTCCTTTCTCTGGACCCCACCCCCACCCCAGCACTAGCCACAACGGCCTCTGGCCAGGAGCATGTCCCTGGCTCCTACCAATGATTCCAGTTAGGTGGAGGAACCTCTGCAGTCGCCCCCCGCCCCCCCCCCCGCCGCAGAAAAAGCCGGAGACCCCCGCCTCCGCTGGGTGGGGGAGGGGCGCCACTTCCGGTTGTCCGGCAACCGCGTCACAAGCCCTCCCGAGTGCCGCGGCCCTGCGGAGGTTCCCAGGCGAGGAAGCTGAAAGTAGCCGCTGCGGGGTAAGCGACGAGGGCCGAGGCGGGCGCGCAGGGTGCGTGGCGGAGGCGGCCAGGGGAGGGAGCGCTGCCTCAGGCCGGGTCCTGGCTCGCTGCGGCCGGCCTGGCAAGGCAGGCGACTCGTTCCCGCCCCCGCGGACCATACCCCTCGGTCACCTCTTCCCTGGGCTCGGCCGATCCCTCCAGGACCCCCGGGATGCAGGCCAGGGAAATGGGGACGCCCCTGCGGGGAGCCAGCTGCCCACCCAACTCCGACCTAACCCACATGCAGGTGTACAGACGCCCCGCAGGCCGCCCTGCACGCGCACACGCACACGCACGAGGACACCATCCTCCTCGAGCAGGGCCTGTGTCCCCGTGCCCTCTGCCTCTTCCACCGGGCGTCGCCCGACCAGGAGGGGGAGGGTGGACGGGGCGCCAGGGTGCACGATGAGGTCCCCCGGGACTCTGCCTCTCGGGCTGGCCGAGGTCCAGGGGTCTCGGCACTTTCCCAGCTCGGAGGGCAGGTCTGGGCCGGCTGTGCCGGGAGGAGGGGGCCGTTGGCCCAAGGGCGTGGAGGTCGGGGCCCCGGGCGGTTTGGGCACCGACAGCACGAGGTATCCCCGCTCGCAGGGCCGGAGGATGCAGCAGCCGAGGGAGGCTGGTAACAGGGGCCCGCGGGAGCGCTCCAGGAAGAGCGCGCCGGGAGCGCGGCCCTCGGGGGAACGCGCGAAGGGGGCGCCCCCGACGGAGCCCCCCGGGCCCGGCTGGGAGCTTACGCTGGACAACCTGGCTGCCATGGCCCCCGCGCAGCGCCGCCGCCACCTGCTCTTCGGCGACCTGCTGCAGGACGTGGGCCTGGCCGCATCCATCTTCCCTCGCGACTCGGTGGAGGCGGCGCTGCACGTGCCGGACCCGCGCGCCTGGGTCCAGCCGCTAGAGCCGCCCGGCCAGCGCCAAGACCGGCTGGTCGGCGTCCTCCAGGCGGCCGAGGCGCGCGGCCGCGTCCGCGCCCTGCGGCTGCGCTACAACCGCCTGCGGGTGAGGCCGGACCGGGCGGACGCCAGGGGTGTGGCGCGGGGAGGGGACAGCCCGGGGCGCTGGGCGCTCTTCCTGGAGACCCCACTCAGCGCCCCTGCGGCCGGCAGACCGAGGAGATCTCGCTGCTCCTCCGGCGCCAGAGGTGTGCGCGCGCCGCCGTGCGGCTCGAGGCGTTCCTGCCGCCGCAGCTGAAGCCGACGCGGATCCCCGACCCGCTGAACCGGCAAGAGGTATGGGCAAGCCCGGGAGGGGGCGGAGAGGGGCCCCGCCCGCCCACGCACGCGACCGCAGCCCCTGTCCCCGTAGCGGAGGCGCGTGGAATCTATCCTGGAGGACAAGGCCGACGGCGTCGTCTTCCCGCGGTGAGCCCTCCTTGCGCGCCTCTGCACATAAAGTTCTTCCCCAAGGCGCCCTGGTCTGTCGGCTGTGCTCCCGGGACCCCCGGGGGGAAGGGGGCGGCGTGGACGCCGCCTCCCACGGGCCCTAGGGTACACGGCGAAGGGCGCACGCAGCACAGGAAGGAGATGCAGCCGCGGGTCCGAGCCGCAGGGCGCGCGGGCCCCACAGGCGTTCTAGCTTCCCAGAGCCCAGGGCCGAGGGCCATCTTCGCAGCAGGCAGCCCCAGGTATTGTGGGCAGGGGGCAGACACCAGGGAAGGGGAGTCCCCTGGACGTCCTCCCCACACCCCACTCGGCGAACAGCACGGCTGGGCAAGGAGCCGGGTCTCTAAGCAGCCCTGCCTTCCTCCCCAGAGCCGGCTCTCGGCCCCGCCCCTCCTTCCCGCGGAGGGGCAGGCGGGGACAGCTGCAGGAGCCCCCAGACCCTTCCCCCTGCCAAGGGCTCCCACTTGCTCTGCCTGGAGCAGAGCACGGATCTGGAAGTAGAGGCCAACTGGGAGCTGGGACGCAGCAAGGAATCCTGCCCGGCGGTGGCCAGGGCCCCTCCCCTGCCCGTGTGGGGACCTGGGCCCTCTGTGCCCTGCACCGGACCCTTCATCCCTTCCCGGCTGCTTGCTGTCCTCGGCCTTCATTCGAGCCTGGACAGTGTGCGGAGCTCCCAGAGGAGGGGAGAGGGCGGCGGGGGGGGGGGGGGGCAGCTGCTCAGCCCCTGGCAGTCGGTGGCTCCAGAAGGTCCTGGCTCCTTGGCCAAGCTCCCTGCAGTCTGGACCAGAATTCCTTCAGGTTACGGAGTGCCTGGGACACGTTCGTCTATTTAATAAAATCACTTGTTATCCCATCACTTCTCGGAGCTTCCATTGCTTCCTGTTTAAAGTGAGGGTCTCAGTGCAGAGCCCCACGCCACCCCACAGTGCTCTGGGGAGAGGTCATGGGCGCAGGCAGGCACGGAGCCCAACCCCGGGGGAAGGCTGGCAAGACAGTGGCCGAGGCGGCTGCCCGGAGGGGCCAGGTGGGCACACGAGCACCCTTAAGTCCCCACTAGGGAGGGGGCCAGAGAAGGTGACCAAGGAAGCCTCTGGAGGGGGCTCCCACCTGCACAGTGCTGTGGCCCTGTGCGGGGTGGGGGTTCAGGCCCAATTCCACCATCCCCAGCCCCTCCCATGAGGCCAGGGGAAGGTCTGTGCTGACCAGCAGTGGCCTGGGGAGATGGATGCAGGTGCGGGGGGAGGGGAGCAGAGGACAAGAGGGAGGGAGTGTGCCAGCCCCCCACCGGGCCACACACCTGCATTTCCCTGCCATGGAGATACACCCCAAGTGCTGCAGGACAGTGTGGCTGTGGCCAGGGCCTCCCTGTCCTCCCCTGTCCCTCTCAGGACAACTACGTGGGCTACAGAAGAGGCAGCCACCCCTGTCCAAACAGGGCCTCCTGGCCTCTGCCTGCCCAGCCAGCCCCACAGAGCCGCCAGGGCCCCTGAACACAGCCCAGGTGTCCCCACCTGTGCCCTGGGAGAGGACGCTGGCCTCCGGAGCAGAGCAGGCAGTGCTGAGGGAGACAGGGGCAGCCGGAGCAGCCCAGTGGGCAGCAGACCTGCAGACCACGGCCAGGGCGGATGCGGCTCACGCTGACAATGAGCCAAAGCACCTGTGCCAGTCAAAGGGACTGGGCTAAGGGGACACTCGGGGCCACCGCAGGGGTCAACGGGGACTCAGCCAGGCCCCATGGGCCCTTCGGCGCGCCTCGGGGTGCGAGAACCGGCGCCCCTGCTGCCCAGCAGCGCCACGGCCCAGGGACGAGCTCCGGACCCCCACCCATGCGAGCAGTCCGGGCCGCATGCGGGACCGCAGCCCGTGGCCCACAGGGGCTGCGAAGCCATGGCCCCGCACACCACAGCGCCATCTCCCGGGGCCACCGCGGCCAAGCGCGGGGGGCGCCGGGCCGGGCGAGCGCGGGGCGGGGCGGACGGCGCGAGGAAGTCCCGGCCCGCGCTTTGGGGAAGTCCGTCGCGCGCCTGCGCACTGCGCCCGCGCCCCCTCCCCGACGCCGGGGCCGGACCTCGGAGCGCGCGGGCGGCGGCGGCGCTGGCGGCTCGGGAGCGCGGCCGGTGAGTGCGCGCGCGGCGCCGGGGACGGCGGCCCTGGCCTCGCGGCCGGCCCGGCGGTGCGCGGCGTGGCCGCCACGGCCTGCGCCGGGACCTGCCCCTCGGGGGCCGCGGTCGCGGGTCCACGTGGACCCCGGGCCGCGGCGGCACTGCAGCCCGCCCCACGCCTGGGGGAGGGGCGCTGCGGCGGGTTCCCTTTTTGTGAGCTCGGAGCCCGGGGAGAGGTTGCTTAAAGGCGGGGGCCGGAAGGACCCAGGTTTCCGCGGCTCCCGCCCCGCTAGCTTGGCGGGGAGCGGCCGGGGCGGGACTCCCTGTGCGCCCCCGCCCCCACCCCGTCGGGTCGGCCGGCAGCCGCTCCGCGCTGCGAGGCGGACCGGAGGCCCTCGCGGGCCGGGGCTCGGGACGCCGCGGGAGGACCTCCCGCTGCCCGGCCTGGGCGCTGCGGCTGCTGCCGTGCCGTGCACGCCCCTTCGACAGCCAGGGAGGGGCCAGGGCGAACCGGCCCCTCCCGCCCCCACCCCGCCTTTGGGTTGCTGGTGAGTGGGGCCCAGGACGGGCTTCTTGAGATGGGGGTGGGGGCTGCGGAGCCTGCGGGGAGGGGTCCGCACGCCTCCTGCCTGGCCCCGGGGCGGGGACAGGGGAGGGAGGGATTCCAGGGTTGGGGGAGCCTGGCCAGACCGGGGCGCCGCCCCCCAGCCCCTGGCTAGGGCAGCGGGTCGGAGAGGTCCTGGGCGGGAGCAGAAGTTGGAAGGAGTCCCTGCCAGCCCCCTCCCAAAGATTGTGACATTTTTCTGAGATTGTCACATTTTCTTGTTCTTTTTTTGGACTGGGCGGGCTCAGGGCCGTTCTTCTTCCTTGTGTGGAGCAGAGCTGCCGCCGCTCCCGAGGGAGCCCTGTCCCCAGGGGCCGGAGTGGCTCCTGCTCTCCCCTTCCAGGCCCCGGGGGTGGGGAGGAGGGAGCGTGGGTCCAGACCCTACTGCCTGAGAGAGGGGCAGGGCTGGAGGAGGGCCCAGCACCCCCGACAGCCCCAGGCTGGGGTTCCTGCCTGGGGCAAGGGCCCTGGCTGCCGTGCCCCTTCTTTGGAAACGTGACTCCCACAGGGCACTTGGTTCCCCCCAACACACTTGGCTTTGGGACCCTCCTGGGAGAGGAAGCCCAGCAGGTGTCGAGAGGCCTTGGCCCAGGGACTGGAGTCGGTGGCCCGTGGGCCTTGTCCTTTCCTGGGTGCTGAGAGCCAAGGCCAGTGGGGTTGAGGATGCAGAGGCCAGGCTTGGGAGTGAGAAAATTAGAAAATAAAATAGAACCAAGTCCCAAGCCTCCTGGCCACAGACCCTCGGGAGAGGCCTGAGGGCCCTCACCTGGACACGGCTGCGCAGTGAGGGGATGCGCCGGGTTTGTGGCTGGCTTTGGCACCCAGTGCCCCTCCCCACAGAGGTGCATCCCAGAAGTGGAAAGGCACACCCCCACAGGGTCTCCAGGCCGACTGGGGCGGGGTGGTCTCCCTGGCTGGCCCTGAGGCTGGCGGCCGGCAGTGGCTTCTGAGCCTGCAGGTGCTGGGCCCAGAGGGTGGGGACCTCAGTGTGCCAGTGGGGTGTGAGGGTCAGGGCAGCTGCGGGCCAGAGACGCCCGACCCGGGGCCCAGATCCCTCCTCCAGCTTCCTGTCCTGCCTCAGGCTTCGGGCCTTGCCACAGAGAGGGAAGGAGCAGCTCATGTCACCACCTCCAACGACGCACAGTCCCCTCGGGAGGGGCCCAGAGCCGGAAACCAAGAAAGAGGAACCCAGGCTTCCGGCTCCCAGGCGCTGAGCCGACGGGGGTGTCCCAGAACCTCCTCTGGGGGCCTCCTCTGGGGGCCAGCCTGGGAGGAGGGGCCGGAGGCTGGGGCAGAGGGCAGAGCAGGGAAGGAGGTGTGCTGCAGGCCACTCCCGCAGGACAGCTAGGGTCTGGGGTCACAGGTTCTCGGTCAGAACCTTGGCCCCTCTTCCCAGACCCCCCGGCTGTGGTGAGGGCCTTGGAGCTGGCATCTCGGAGCCTGGGCCGCCTGCTTTACCCACCCATGCCCACCGCGCATGAGGCTGACAAGCAGGTATGCTGCTCCCTGTCTGTCCCGGCCCCCTGGGGAGGGGGTAATGAGGGGTCAAGGTATCCCTGAATACCTGGGTGGGCAGAAGGCACAAGTCCAGGTTTGGGGGGTTCCACCTTGAGGCTGAGGAAGCCCTGTGTCCCCAGCACGCAGGGCCAGAGGAGGCAGACCGGCCGCCTTCGATGTCCAGCCGTGATGCGGCCCCCACGGCGGCCCCCAGCCGCAACCCCTGCTGCCTGTGCTGGTGCTGCTGCTGCAGCTGCTCCTGGTACGCGCGCCTGGGACCAGGCTGGGCCCGGGCGGGAAGGGAGGTGCAGAGGTCTGGCCACCTGACGTGGCCCTGGCGTCCGTATTCAGGGCCTGGTCCCAGACTTGCCGCAGCGCCAGGGCTGGTCCCTGTGCAGGGCCAGGCCTGCTGCGTGCGCCTTCACCCCTCCCTGGGTGCCTGGTCATCCTGGGGACCTTCAGTGGAGCGAGACGGGCACAGCCCTAGAGTGGGTGGAACAGAGAGACCCCAAGGAGGCAGCAGCTGGCCCTGGGCACGGGGAAGACCTGCCCAGGCAGCAGGGTCAGTGTGTGCATGAGGCCGCAGTGGGGCTCCAGGGGTGACCAGAGTGCAGGGCAGCTGCTGGACATTGTAGTCTTTGCAGAGGTGTCAGGGCCTCGGTTACTGAAGGGACAGGACATGGGGACCTCACGTGTAGTCAGCTGACCCACGAGCAGCCAGGGCCTGACAGTCCAAGCAGGACATGGTGGGTGGTGGGAGGGGTGCAGGGACCCCTGCATCAGCCAGGTCATACCCCCAGTGAGGGGAGGGAGCCCAGGAAGAGGCACACGGTCACACTGCTGAGGAGGACGAGGACCAAGGCTGCGGCCTGGGCGCTCCGGCCTGCATGGGAAGGAGCCTACAGGAGGCTGTTCTCCTGTGAGCCCCGGGCTGGTGGGCGGCGTGGGGGCCCCACGTGCCCAGGGCAGTGCAGCCCCTGTGTCTGCTCAGGAACCAGCAGCGGCGGCGAGCGTGGCAGGCCTCCCGGGAGAGCAAGCTGCAGCCCCTGCCCAGCTGCGAGACGTGGTGAGTCCAGTGGCCTGCGGGGGGGCGGGGGGGCTCAGGCCAGAGGCCCTGGGCTGAAGTGGCTGGCCCCGTGCCTGCAGTGCCACGCCGAGCCCCGAGGAGGTGGAGAGCTGGGCGCAGTCCTTTGACAAGCTGATGCACAGCCCTGCGGGCCGCAGCGTGTTCCGGGCCTTCCTGCGCACGGAGTACAGCGAGGAGAACATGCTCTTCTGGCTGGCCTGCGAGGAGCTCAAGGCCGAGGCCAACCAGCACGTGGTGGACGAGAAGGCGCGGCTCATCTACGAGGACTACGTGTCCATCCTGTCCCCGAAGGAGGTGGGGCGGGGGCGGCCGGTGCTGGGCAGGGGTCGGGAGGCACCGCCTGGGCCCCTGACCGTGCTGCCCTGTCTGGCAGGTCAGCCTGGATTCCCGGGTGCGGGAAGGCATCAACAGAAAGATGCAGGAGCCGTCCGCACACACGTTCGACGACGCGCAGCTGCAGATCTACACGCTGATGCACCGGGACTCCTACCCCCGCTTCCTCAGCTCCCCCACCTACCGTGCCCTGCTGCTCCGGGGAGCCCCACGGTCCTCCTCCGAGGCCTAGCCGCCCGCCCGCACAGACACTCGACGCCTCGGGCAGACTCGGGGGCGGCTGGAAGCCCCCTCGCCCAGCAGCCCTGCAGGGGGCTCGTGCACAGCCAGGAGGGGCCGTCTCTGGAGGCACTTGGACCAGAGCAGTGGGGGCCCTGGGACCTGCCCCTGCCGGAGGACAGACCTCCTGCCTCATGCAGCTGTGAGACAAGACCCACCTTCTCACCGTCTGCACCCCAGAGCCTCGAGCCAGGGGACAGGACCCACTTTCTAGTCAGCTCACGAACGTTAAACCTGAAAACCTGTCTTTTCTGTGTTTTATCAAAAACAAGAAAAATGTCTTCCTATTTATCTCTGCCTGCATCCACTGGAACTGGGACGTCTTCCTAGTGAAGGTATCTCAAAGGAAAAGGCTCCTGTTTGTGTCTGCACTGGGGAGGGTTAGAGAGGAACTGCCCCAGACTCCAGGCTGGGAGGGGCCGTCGGGGTGGCTCTGCCTGGGTCTGGGATGGACAGATCCCTCGCAGGTAACAAAAGCTGGCCCTGGAGGCTGGGGTAGAACACTGGGTGACCCGGGTGCTAGGCAGGGGTCACAGTCACAGTACCCTGGGCCTGGAGGTCAGCATCACCACCACACTCCCGCCTGTTTCTGGGGCATTAAAGTGACTTGAGGCTGGAACTGGCCTGGAGCCATGAGACCCCACCCTTGCACGGAGGCAGCACAGGGACTGCCGTCCTGGAGGGGAAGGGGGGCACACACTGGGCAGAGTGGTGCAGCTTGGTCGTGCTGCCCTGTACCCCAGGACCAAAGGCCCTGAGGATGTTGGGGGGCTGCCCAAGTGTTTCCTACAGGGTTGCCTGGCCACCAGAGGCCCAGCTGAAACCTGGACACAACCCAGGAGGACCAGGAGCCAGGGACAGCAAAGAGACATTTAATAAGGACATGGAGGGGCAGGAAGGTGCACTCCAGGTAGGCGGGTGGGGCAGGGCATGTGGCCTCCTGTGGTCTCCAGAGACGCCCAGGAGAGCCAGCACTGGCCACAGCCAAGGTTGCAGCAACAGGCAGAAGCTCAGCAGAACTGCAAGGAAGAAGGAGCCCCTCAGTGGTGTCAGCCCAGGGGAGACCCTGGGGGGGGGGGGGGCAGGACAGGCTGGGCCAGGGCTGACACGGGGAGGGGGGCTGGACAGGCTGGCCCAGGGCTGACTCGAGACCCTGGGGGGGGGGGGGGGGCAGGACAGGCTGGGCCAGGGCTGACACGGGGAGGGGGGCTGGACAGGCTGGCCCAGGGCTGGGCCCCACCCACCTACCTTCCAGCGGTTCCCACACTCGTTGCAGACGACGAAGGTGGTCATTGGCTCGTCAGAGCTGCGGGTCTGCACCTGTATGGAGGGCTGGGTGGGCCCACAGCTGGCCTGGGCCCCTGGGCCCTGGGCTGCCCAGCAACCCCAACCTTCCAAAGCTGGGCTTCTGGGGAAGCGAGGAGGTGGTCGTAGGACCCCAGCAGGAAGGGGTCCCAGTGCTCGTGGAGGCCCGGGGGTGTTACCCCAGTGAATGCCGGGCCCCAGAGCCCGTGGAGAAGCTGTGCTCACCCTCGGCCTCTGCCCGCTCTCCTCATGTCTTTGGGGGCCACACGGTCTCTGCCTCCATCAGTGGGAGGCATCCTGGACTGGGAGCGTGAGGCCGTGAAGGGGACCACCCCTCAAGGCGTCAGAGACCCAGAGGCTGGGGGGAAAGGCACCCCCAGGCCAAGGCCGGGGGGCTCACCTGCGTGTAGGTGCAGTTCTTCTTCCTGCACTTGCCACAGGTGAACAGGTCCGTCGGCGTGCCGCCCGTGCGGGCCATCTGGTGCTCCCGGATGGCCTCCTTGGTCATGGCCTTGCGGATCTCCTTCAGCTCGTCGCTGGCCATCTCCTGGGGGCAGGGGCCGAGTGCTCAGCCCTCAGTCTGGCAGGGGCGGCCCCAGCCCCCCACGGGCTCACCTCCGAGGTCATCACAGCGATTTGCTGGGGCGCGATGGCACCACACAGCACGTTGCGCCGCAGGTCGGGGTTCTTGGCATCCTTGAGGTTGGAGATGCGGCTGCGCACGCGGTTCTTGTACTTCATGTCCGTGCTGCCCACGTCCCGGAAGATGCGTGCAGGCACTTAAGGACCCTCGTGGAGGCGGTGCCCTGCCCAGCCCCACCACCTGGTCTGCTGCTGGGCCAGGCAGAGCAGGCCGCAGGGAAGGTGGGCAGGGGCACCTGCAGGCCAGTTCAGGGTGCACCTCAGCTCTGCTGAGGACCCAGGGCAGCCAGGTGGGATGGGCTGACCAGCCCTGGGCAGCCCACGGGGGCGCCCAGAATCAGACCCCTCCAGCAGGCAGGGCCCTCCGAGGGTAAGGCTACCCCACCACCCAGATAAAAGTCAGTGGCTGGTGCATAGCGGGTAAAGCTACTGCCTGCAACGCCGGCATCTCATACGGGTGCCAGTTCATGTCCCAGCTGCTCCACTTCCTATCCAGCTCCCTGCTCATGGCCCAAGTCCCTGGGTCCCTGCACCCACAGGGGAGGTCCAGGTGAAACTCCTGGCTTTGGCCTCACCCAGCCCTGGCTGTTGTAGCCATCTGGGGAGGGAACCAGCAGATGGAAGATCCACCTCTCTCTCCCCCCACCCCACCCCTTCTCTCTATAACTCTGACTTTAAAATAAATAAATCCTTAAACAACAAAAGCCAGTGACTGCCCAGAAAGGGCACTAAGCAGCTGGACAGTGGAGCCCCCATGGGGAGCCTGGCCCAGCGTCCCGCCTCTGCCAGACCCCTTGGCCCACAGCTGCACACAAAGGATATACTCCTCAATCTGGGCTGACAGACGCTCACAGTCCACACCGATGGCCACGTGGTCGCCTGCGGGAAGGACCCCACCAGCACCCCGACTGGTTCTCTGCCCGCACAGCACCCTGGCCTGGAGCCAGTACTCTGGTGACCCCCAAGACGGCCCCCCCTGCCTGATGTTGAGCGGGGGCTGGGGCAGCGGGGCTGTCTCACTGGACACGCACCGTCCGTCTGCAGGGCGGCGCTCAGCATCTCGCGGCACTTGGTGCGCACAGCATCGCAGGTGACAGGCACCGGGGGGAACGTGGTCATCCTTGGGGTGGATGGCGTCCTGGGCAGCTCCAGCCTCTTGCGGCTGCAGAGAGATGGGCTGCCCGTGACCCCACCCTGTCCACCCAGTTTGGCGTTCCTGTGGGGTCTGCCCAGCTGGCCACAGGGGGCGGGTCCTGTGGTCCCCACCAGGTCAGAGCTCATCCTCTCAGGGCACCCACCCTGCTTAGGTCTGAGGCGAGGGCAGCCTAGGCAATCAGGAGCTGCCTGAGTGGAAAACGAGGCAGGGGTCATCCAAGGCCAGCTTCCTCTGACAGAGAAAGTGGGGCCGCCCGCTGCCCAGGCTGCATCCTCCGGCCCAGCGGGCACAGCCCTGTGGAAATCAGCGGGAGCAGGGGGCTTCCGGAGGAGCACACGCCACAGACCCAGGGTTCGGCTTGTGACCCACGCCCAGCTGCCAACCACTACCGTCCACTCTGATCAAGAGCCAAGCAGCCTCTCACCAGGACACCTCTGGGCTGCCCGTGTGTGCCTGGGCCAGGCAGGACGGGGGCTGCCTCTGTCCAGGAGGAAGGGCCAGCGTCTACAGACACCAGGCAGAGCAGGCCAGTGAGCATCCAGGTCCAGGACAGGCCCCAGGGTAGGCAGGCAGGGGAAGACCCAGAGCAGCTCACTGACCGCAAGGCACACCCAGCCAGGTGGGACTGGGCTGACCAACGCTTCCCCTGACCACCGCCCAGGGTCACAGCGGCACCTGCTCCCCAGGTGCTCTACCTGGGATCCGTGGCCTCGGAGGCGGCCTTGGAGGACGAGGCAGGCAGAGGCGCACCCCTCCCCCGGTCCCTGGCTCTGGCATCTGAAGCGTCTGCAGTTTCCGGAGAAGAGGCAGTGAGTGAAGGGGACAGAGGACTCCAGCAAAGCAGAGCCCTGGCCACCGCCTTCGGCCACGGTCCCGGTCCCTGCCCCAGCCAGGAGGCCACCACCCCAATACCCTTTCTTGCCTAGGGGGGGTCTCTTTGGGTCCACCCTCCAGCACAGAGCAGGCTCCTCCTGAACCCCACGCCTTGGGAGGCCTGCACTGGGGACAGCCCACATGTGTGTCGCATGTGTCCATTGGCCACACAGGTCACGTGGCTGCCTCACAGAGGTAAGTGCCCAGGACAGCCTAGGAAGGCTCCCCCTCCCAGGGCCCAGAGGCATGGCTGCTTTCCTGTCCCAGTGGCACAGCCCACTCGTACCAGTGCCCCCACCCTGGGCCACCTCCTGCCCCCCTGGCCCTGGGCACCTCAGCTTTGCCCGGCCCAGCAGGTTCTGGGGGCCCCAGCCTCCTGCAGCACCTCCAAGGCAGGCCCCGGTCCAGCTCCAGCTCCAGGCAGCACTGTGCCTGACAAGCAGGAGGCCAGCACCCCCTGGGCACCCCTCCTCCAAGCACAGAGCCCTCACTGCCCGACCCACACCCAGCAGCTTCTTCCACGACTTGATGAGAGACTTGGCCAGCGCGATGACCTCTTCGTCTGAGCTCTGCTTTCTCAGGGCGTTGACCGACATCCCCACACGAGTGGCCTGTGAACAAGCCGCCTGGGTCGGGGGGTGGTGGGGAGCCCCCAGGGGGACTCTGACATCTCCCAGTAGAACCCACGAGGACAGGGTGGGATATCGAAACGTCTCATTGAGAGCCAGAGCCAGGAACAGGCCTGTGCCCATCAGTGTGCCCTTGGACACTGCTCTCCCAGGAGCTGCCCCAGGCCGGGGGCAGGCAAGGACCTACCTGGAGCAGGTGCAGTGTGACGGGCATGGCCTTGAGTTCCCTCAGCAGGTCTATGGCACCCTCCTGGAAGGAGAAAGGGGGGCTTCCTAGAGCTCAGTGGACAATCCCACCTCTTCCTGCCCATAGGCCATGCCTCAGTGCCTCCACCTGGAGACACCAGGGCTCCGCCCACCAGCCGGTGCACCCAGGATAAGGAGCCAAGTGGCTCTGCAGGCTCTGTCCCTATGGTCCCGTGACCTTCCGTCCAGCATCCACGCAACAACCTCACCGTAGCCATGTGGGGTCACTGAACAAACCACAGGAGCACAGACGCCAAGGGCCATGGCCAGGTAGGGGAGGGCTCAGGCTGTCACACACAGGGGCATCTCCCCTCGGGCACCGCTCCTCCAGGCTCCCCAGGTCCAGGACCCTGATGGGTGTGGGCCCCACCTCCCTGCAATGCCTTGTGCCCAGCCAAGCCTCTGTTCCTTAAAGGTGGGACTCGGGGGGGCCAGCTCCCCCGCCCCCACTGCTCCCTGCGGGCGCCATCCCTTCAGTGCGGTGTGTGTCTCTCCGACCAGGAGAAGGGCGGGGGTGACCACGCAGATCCCTCTCCCAGGCAGGCCCCGCTCCTGCGCTGTGCCGAGTTCGGATCTCCCAGGGCCGCGTTCCCACCGGCACTGCACACGGGGAAGCTGGCTCTCCCAGGTCTCCGGACCCCAAAAGGGGCTCTCAGCTCTCAGGTGCTGGCCTCCCTCCCTGTCCTCCCAGGGAGCGAGTCCTGCCCAGCCGCTCCCCTCCCTGTTAGTCTCCCCCAGCCAGTCTAGCGCCCCTACTTTGCTGCAGGCCTGGGGGGGTGAGAAAACAATGGGGTGGGGGTGCTGCTTCCAGGATGACTGACAGTCGGGCCCGTTCCTGGAGAACCCCATCCACAAGAACCCGCCCCACCCCCACGCGGTCCCGGAGCCCATGACTCAGCCGTCTGGGGCCGCCCCGGGAGCTCGCAGCCCCGGGGACAGCACAGGTCCCGTGCACGGAGCCGGTCCGCGGGATGCTCGCCCCCTCCCCACCGCGGCGGTGCTGGGCGGTCGCCAGGGGTGCTGCGGGGAGTGAGGCCGTTCCAGGACCGGCCCGGCCGTGGGGTCCGGTCGAGGCGGCGGCATTTGCCGCAGGCGCCGGGCCCCTAGGGGCGAGGACTCGGCCCCGCAGCCCGTGAGTGGGGGCGAGGGCCGGGGGCGGGCCCAGCGTGCGGCGGGGGCTCCTGGGCCGGGGGTCGGGCCGGGCCTCGGGTCTGCGGGGCGCAGGGGGAGGGCGGGGCGGCCCGGGCGGGGGTCCCTGCCCCGGGCACGGGGGTCTCCCGGCGTCCCAGGGGTCTCTGCCGGGGCTCTCGTCCTTCCCCGTGGGGGCTCCCGGGCCTGACGCGGGGCGGCGGCCTCGGCGGGGTCTCGACGGGGCGGGGGTACCAGCGGCCCGCGCCCCTCACCGCGCTCTTCTTGGTCACCATCTTGTCCAGCCTGCGGGCGATCCGCGCGATCTCCTCCTCCTTGCCCGTCATCGCCTCGGGGCAGCGCCCCCGCGCCCGCCTCAGACCGACCCCGGCCGCCGCCTCCGCCGCCGCCGCCGCCGCGGGCCGACCCTCGGCTCAAACCCCCGGCCCCGCGGCCGCGCGCTGCACCCTGGGACGCGTAGTTCGCGCGCGCCCGCCCGGCCCCGCCCCCGCCGGCCCCGCCCCGCGCCCGAGTGTGCCGACCTCGCCCCCGCCGCAGGCCCCGTGGAGACCCCGACCCCGGCCCCGCCCCCGCACTCACGGCCCCGCCTGCTGGGAAGGGTCCTCTGGGAGCGGCGACCTCCTGCGGAGAATTCGGGCCCCGCAAACCGCCCTGAGCGAGGGCCGCGGGGCGGGGCGGGCTGGACGCGCCCCCTGGAGCCCCGCCCCCAGGAGCCCCGCCCCCCGAACGGCCCGGGCCCGTTAGGCCGCTCCGGGTCCCTTCACGGCCGGCTCCCCCTCCTCTGTCCTCGAGCATCCCCGACCCCGCCAACCCTGCCCCTCGGTCCGTGCGACCACGGCGCCGTCCCAGAACCCAGCCTGGGTCGTTAGGGCCTCTGCCCGGGGTTGGCTCCCGGAGCTGCCCGCCCACACTGGGGAGCCCCACAGCCGGCAGGAGGGTGGGTTCCTCTGGTCAGGCTGATGGGGAAGGGGTGCCAGAAGCTGACCCCTGTCCCTGTACCTGGCGGCTCCACGCCCCGACCCCTGACCTGTGCCTGGCAGGGCTGCTGTTGGGGTGAGGCAAGCTGACTCACTGACCCGGATAAGCGAGAGACTGGCTTTTGCCACAGCTGAAGTCCCCAGGAGGGGCCAGACCACACAACACAGAGGGTGGCCCAGGCCCAGGAGAGTTGAGGAGTGCCAAGGTGCGGGGCCAGGACCGGTGCCTGCCTGCCTCCTAGTGATGGGGTGCTGGCGGCTGCAGAGAGCGGGCCAGGGACTGCTGGGGGCAGCTGGGCACACCAGGCCTTAGGCGCTCAGCGGCACTGAAGGTGGCAGGTGCGGGACTCACCTTAACCACGAGGAAAAGCATGAATTCCTTGTGGCTGTTCCCAGGTTGTATGGTGGGCGGACACCACACCCCAGTCTCCCAGGCCAGCAGAAGCTGCCCTGCCCGTAGTCAGGGCGGGGGTGGGCGTCCAGCCACGTCAGGGCAGCAGGGAGGATGGAGCCACACATCCTTCAGCCACCCTGGACGGCTGATGAGTGACCACACCCAGGAGCTGGCTGGGTCTTGTGGGCCAGTACTGGGGCCGCCTCGGGACCCAGAAATCATGGCTTCAGAAATCGTCCAAGCCAGACCCTTGTCATCCAGGTGGTGCCAACCACGCAGGCTGCCCGGAGAGGCAGGCCTCAGGGAGAGGGGTGGGTTCCAGCTGACTCGAGGGCCCCTAGATGCCCCAGCCCTGCATCTGGCGCAGCTGCTGCTGACACACCCCGGGAATTCCTGGCTTCTGGCGTCAGCCTCTTCCAAACCTGGTGTTTGCAGGCACTTGGGGCGTGAACCAGCAGATGGAAGATCTCTGTCACTCTGTCTTTCAAATAAGTCAGAGGGAGGGAGGGAGGGAGATGACGAGGACAGGCCTCCCAGGAGCACCACTGGGCTGTCAGAGGGGCCTGTGCAGAGACTGTGGCCTGGCTGAGGTGTGGGGAGGTGTGTGGCCTCAGGCAGCCCTGGGGCAGGTGCCACCTGGGGCCGGAGGTCAGGCCGCCCTCTCCAACTCTGCGGCTGGCTTAGCAGGGGTGGAGCAGGCAGAATCCCTGGGAAACCAGTCTGAGGTTCTTCGATCCTGCTTGTAATGTTTTAAAAGATTCCTTTGCACATTTATTTGAAAGGAAGAGTAACAGAAGGGAAGACAGAAAGAGCAAGAGGGAGAGATTTTCCATCAACTAGTTCACTCCACAGACGCCTGCAACAGCCAGCGCAGAGCAAGGCCAAAGCCAGGATCCAAGGACCCCACCCGGGTCTCCCTCGTGGGTGGCAAAGACTTGAGTCCTTGGGCCGTCATCTACTGCCTCTGTGGTTGCATCCAGAGCTGGGGCAGAAGCAGGGGCAGTGAACCATGGATGGAAAACTCCCTCTCCCTCTTTCTCTCCCAAATTCCAAATTCTGCATTTCAAATCTTAAAAAAAAAAAAAAAAAAAAAAAAAAAAACGGACCACGACCACCATCAGCGCCACAGGTGTGACCCTGGGACCCTTGTCATCGGCAGTCAGAAGGACAGGCCTCAGGCCAGCCAGGATGGGTGAACACTGGTGCCCAGAAGAGAGGCCAGGAGGCTGGGATCCTATTTAGGGGTGCAGAGGGTGCCAGGACAGATGGGGGTGGCCTGCAGTTCACATCCAGCCCCCACTTTCTCCATGCTGTGGGGGAGGTCTGGGAGCTGTGGGGGGAGTGGGGGTCCAGAGTGCCTGGGTCTAGAGGACAGGGACCAGCCCCCAATGGGAAAGAAACATAGCATTCCTTCACTTCTGACAGAGCCGTGAACCGCTCCTGGTCAGCAGGCCGACCTCCTGGAGCACACAGACGGAAGCCACTTTGCACCCGCGGCCCCACCTGACGCCACACCTCGCCGAGTTAGTGAAGATACACTCAGAACTTGCAAATCTTAGGAACTATTTTCAGAAATGTGTTAGTGTGGGGCCGGCGCTGTGGTGTAGCGGGTTAAGCCGCCGTATGGCCGCAGGTTCGAGTCCCGGCTGCTCCACTTCCGACCCAGCTCCCTGCTGATGTGCCTGGGAAAGCAATGGAGGTGTAAGTGCAAACTCTGCTCTGTCACTCCCACAGGGGAACGTGGAGTCCATGGGGGCTCTCCCCTGGCCCTGCTGGCGTGGAAGTCCTTGTCCCGTCTCCTCCATGAGACCCCAGGTGCACCTGCTCCCTGCGTCGCCACAGGAGGCCCAAGAGGCTGAGCCCCGGAGGGTCCTGCCACGTCTCAGTGGGACCCCTGGAGCCTCAGAGGCTGCAGACAGGGAGACAAGATGTGACTCTGGCTTCATGGCCGGTCAGACGGGTACGGGCCGGTCAGTGGTGGCCTGGCCTGTGGCAGAGGCTGCTGATGGGAGGGAAGGAGTGGAATGACAAGAGGAGAGTGCTCCAGACCCGGGAACCTGGAGGCCACAGCCCCTTCCCCGGGGCCCAGACGGGCACAGCAACACGTTTAGTTGTGCATGTGCTGCACTTTCTAATGGCAGGAGCCCAGTGCTGAGTGGAAGCAGCCACGTGAGGGGAGGGTGAGGATCTACAGGGGAGCCTGAGGGTGGACGCTGCCCAGTGGTCTGAGGCAGGTGACTGGACCCAGGGGCTTAGGCGCTAGTGGCCTCTAGGTGGCAGGAGTGAGCCACAGACCTGCCTTGGGCACTGGCCGCTGGCTAGACAGGACCATAAAGCAGCCAGGTTGAGAAGGTTGTGGGTCCTGGGGGGAGGCCATACAATGACCGATCCTGAGACTTCCCAGTCCTCGCCTTGGAGATCCTGGCCCAGGACCCTCATGAGTTCCCAACCTCTGCATCCTTGCTCAGACCCCCTGGGCCCCTCCTGGTCCCTTCCTGGACCTTGCGGACCTTGCCCCGCCAAGGAGCTCCCACAGTAAACTGCCTGGGACCCGGACACTGCGTGCCCTCCGGAAGCTGCACCAGGCACCAGAGGGCGACAGCATCAGGACCCCGGGATCCTCCTGCCCGCAACCCCCCACCCCCACTCCCTTCCCCTCCTGGGGCTGAGCCCCCTGCCCCTTAGGATTCAGCCCCTCCTCCAGGGGCTCTCTGTGGGCCACACAGCCCTGTCGTGGGGGCTTTGAGGGGGAGATGCACCCCAGTATGGAGGTCTGAAGTGGGTCTGCAGGAGGACCTCAGGACCCCCGCCTCCCGCCCCTCCCCGGCCCAGGCCAGCCCTGCCTTTGGCCCAAAGGCTGCCCCTCCCCCACGCGCCGTCCGGGAAGCATCGGAAACTCAGGCCATTTGCTTTTCTATTTGTGTCCCCCTACCCCCGCCCGCCTGTGCCGGCCGTGACCCCAGTGGCCGGCGTCCGTGCTTCCCCTCGGTTGAGGCAGGGCCGCGGTGGGAAGGCCAGTGCTGCCAGACTCGCACGGAGCCCCTCTTGCATCCCACGACCGGGGGGCAGGGACCCTGCAGCCCCTGCAGCCCCGCCCCTCCCCCCAGGAGCAGCTCTCTGCCCCCCAGGCCGTCAGCCTCTCCAGCCGCGCAGCTGCAGCCTCAGCCGGCCCCACCTGCTTCCCCTGGCTTCTTGCAGCCAGACAGGGACGGCCAGGGACTCCCATCCAGCGAGGGCGGTCATCACCCCTCCCCCACCCACCGTCCTGAGTGCCCACAAGTGAGGGCAGGGCCCCTACGGCCTCTGGCTCTCTGGGTCTCAGTCTCCCTGTCCGAAGAATGGGGAGAGCCACCTGCTCAGGGCAGTGTCTCTTGGAAAGTCCCCAGCCCAGCCCACAGCCTTGGATTGGTCCCAGCTCCCTCCTCCAGAGGCAGTGCTGGGGGGGCAGGAGGCATCCCCCAGAGGCCGGTGGCAGCCGCTCCAGGCTTACGCTAACAATGCACTTCCCCCACACAATTCCCAGAAATGCCGCCCTCCCTGCCCGACCAGCCCGCCAGCCTGGCGGCCACTCCACCCTCCCCTTCCCCAGGGACCCCAGGCAGCCGTGGGGTCAGGGGCTGTGGGTGAAGCCTGGAGGTCTGACACACAGCAAGGGGGCCCTGAGGTGCTGCCTGCCCTGCCCTCTGGAGAGAGACCAGAGATTGCTGGGGCGGCCAGAGTAGGGGACCCACAGGCCACCCCTGGCTAGGCCCCGCCTTCTCTGTGGAGGGCGAGGGCATCGTTCTGGCCCTGAACAGGCCCAGCCTCACCCAGCAGCTGTGCCTGGGCTGTGAGAAGCAGCCACCCCTACTCGGAACCCTCCCAGACCCCGCTCAGCTCCTCTCCCTTCTGACGCCGACGTATTCCTCTCCTAGTGTAAGACCCCCCAAGTATCCCCAGTACCCCCCACATGTCCCCTGGGTGTTGGCTCAAGTCACCAGATGGAAAGACAGGCAGCGAGCACCCGACTCCCTGACTTGCGCGTGGGTGTGCAGACTGTCTCCGTACCAGAGTGGCAGCTCCCCGGGGCAGGGC